GAGCAGCAACAGCCACTAGTACTCGAGGTGATCTGCAACGGGCGACGCCTCCAGACACTGGTGGACAGTGGTGCGTCCCACTCGGTGTGCGACTGCGGGACGTTGGAGAAAATTGAAGAATCCTCAGAAGAGACCCAGTTTACAGCAACGATGGTGGACGGTACGAAGCTTCCCATCCACGGCGAGTCAACACTGCAGCTGCAGATAGGAGCGTTAAGGTTGAAGCCGACGTTGCTGATCACGAACATCAAGGGATTAGATTTCATCTTGGGGCGTGATTTTTTTAAGCAGATCAACCTCGAGATCGACTGGGTCAACCGGAAGGCGTGTATCTACAACAACGGGAAACGTGTGAAGCTGCGAAGGTGGACGGATACAGGGGATACTCCTCATCAGCAAGCCATGGAGCAGCTACAGACAACACTGACTACAGCGCCAGTACTCATCCTACCGAATCCAGACAGAGACTACGTGGTGGAAGCAGACGCTAGTGACCAAGCAGTCGGAGCAGTACTGATGCAGAATCACGGACGCGGTTTGCAGCTCATCGCCTATCTGAGTAAGAAGCTACACGGAGCAGAACTGAACTACCCTATCCATGACAAGGAAGCCTTAGCGATAGTCACAGCCTTCAAGGCGTGGAGGTGTTACCTAGAGGGAGCCAAGACTACAGTTTACACTGACCACTGCAGCCTCAAATACCTGAAGTCGCAGCCGACGCTCTCATGGGATTGTTGGGGACAAAGCTTGCGATGTCTTCAGCGTACCGCGGACCCGCGCGTCGCCCCCCGTCGCCCGTCGTGGCCTGCGCGCGGCCCGTACAGCCGGCGTGCGGCCCGTACGGGCTGCGCCAGGCCTGCGCGCGGCCCGTACGGGCTGCGCCAGGCCCGCGCGCGGCCCGTACGGGAAGCGCCAGGCCCGCGCGCGGCTCGGGCCGCCTGCGCGCGGTTCGGGCGGCTATGCCAGGCCCGTGGGCGGCCCGTTCCTCGCTGCCCCTGCCCTCCCCACTGTCCCCCGTGCTTCTACTGGCGCCCCACCCCTCCTACAGCCCGTTCTCCTGAATTAGGGTTTGGGGGTGAGGGGTATGGGGGTGAAGCCACTGAGTGCCGTTCCCTGTTCCTCCTCCTCCGTCTCCCTGTGCTGCAGCTGCCGCTGAGGGGGGGTGGACTTGTTGGAGCCGTTGGAGTGGTACTAAGGGGGGGTGAAGGGGGAGTGGAGCTAGCGGTGTAGCAGCGGGTGTGTGTCAGGGGGAGTGGGATAGTTTGGGGAGGTTGAAGGGGGTGGCCGCCGTGAAGCCAGCAGCTCCAGTCGCCCGTGAGACCGTTGCGCCAGTCGCCCGTGAGCCCGTTGCGCCAGTCGCCCGTGAGCCCGTTGCTCCAGTCGCCCGTGAGTCCGTTGCTCGTCTGCCGCTACTTTCAGCCGCGGAGCCAGTTACTCCAGTAGCCCGTGTGCCAGTTGCTCCAGTTGCCAGTGTGCCAGTTGCTCCAGTTGCCCGTGTGCCAGTTGCTCCAGTTGCGCCGTGTGCCAGCAGCTTCAGCTGCCGCCCACTACCTCCTCTCCTCTCATAGTCTCTTTCCTCCTCCTCACTTGCCCGTTGTGACTACCACTAGCTTTGCTCATAATTGTGAACTTTAAACTATTGCTTCTTGAACTTGTGCTCAGAATGTGTGGTGACATTGTGATCCACCCTGAGCTTGTACTGCTTTGCTTGCTCTGCTGATTACACCCCACTTTGGCTATGGGGGTGTGTCAGAATATTATGCTCTAGCCTGTAGTGGGGTGCTCTATAGCGAGTACAACCCTTCTAGGGTTTGCTATTTGTATCCCCATTCTTACTAGTGCAACCTCTCTTTGCCTAAACTTCTCTTGCCTAGCTAGGGTTCTCCTAGCTATGGCTCCTAACTATCTTTACTATCTCGACAGCTGCGTGGCTCTCTTGGCCTCCTGCATCGCCTCTTCCTTGAGGATGAACGAGGTCAGCGAGTCCTCGTTGAGCGACTCCCTCGTGTCTGGCATCACCACCGACAGCCGCTTCAGCAGGTTGTAGCTGCTCGGGAGTCCCTTCAAGACGTGCGTGACGTAGGATGCCGTCGAGTACTGCACGTCGGCCATCCGCATGTTGGCGAGGAGTCGCCGAGCCCAGTTGCAGTAGTCGGTCGCCGACTCCTGTTCACCCATCCGCAGGTGCGTCATCTGCTCCTCCAGCTGGCCGATGTATAGGTTGTCCCTGACCTGGTACGTCGACGTGATGAACTGCCACGCCTGGTGGCCGACGTCTAAGTAGCTTCTGCACGACTTCAAGGCGATCTGCACGCCCGGCGAGCAGCACCGCGAGATGACTGTGAAGATGAGCAGCTGCATTGCGTGGAATTCCGCGCGCATCTCGGAGTTGCTCGTCGCGGCATCTCCTCGCTGCCCTCGGCGAAACACATCAGCCTGGCCATCTCCAGCTGGAGCTCGATAGATTCCTTCCACGTGAGAAGGTCGTGCCGACCGACCAGCGGCGCCGTGACGGAGACCTTGTCCGGCGGGAACTTGAAGTACCCGTAGGTCGGTGCGATCCCTTCTGGAGTCACGTGTTTTGCTGACGTCGGCATCACGCTGCCGCGACGCCTACCGACGTTTCCTTACGAGGAGCCCACAGTCGCCGACGACTGCAGCCCTCGCGCCTGAACGCCGTCGACTTCATTGTCGGCAGTCTGGAAGACCCCTCTCTGCCTCGACGTGCCTTCCGCATTGCTGCCGACTTGATCACCGGTGTTGACACCCACGTCGATTCCGACTTCGTTGTTCACCGGTCGAGGAGAGGCAGGTCGAGAAGGGTGCTCCGCTGCCCACACGGCGTGGATTCCTGCCTCGACGACCGCCAAGGGGAGCGTTTCCCCATTCTCGCCAGCCAAGTGGCTTCTCCTCACATCCTCCAGCCATGCCTCCAAGGTGTCTACCACCCCTGCGTCACCTATGCCCACCATGGTGACAATCGCACAGTGGCCGGCCTACGAACATGATAGGTAAGTGCAACTAAGTCGCCTAAATTGAAAGTAAGTCGCACTGCCGTCCACGCTCACTGCACCATGCGGAGATAACTACTACAGCGAGAGCTAGTCTATGAGGTAGGCACGGGGTAAGAGTGATCATATCATTCGTTCCTTAGTCGTTCGCTTGCGCTTCCTCTACTTGCACATTCGCGGGGTAATTTAGCAAGAGTTTCACTAGCAAAAGTTCACAACAATTTTTTACATTGGCAAAGCAACACTGACTACATCAGGAGCTAGCATGCAAGCATATCGACTACCAGCGCAGCACGGTCGACCGCGTTCCAGCACTGCAAGGTCGACTGTGCTCCAGCAGAGCAAATTTGCGGTCTGCCAGCGCTGCAAGTCGACGGCGTGCCAACGCTGCAGCAAGGCGGCTGCACAGCGTTGCACCCGCATGACAGCAGCGCACCTGCTTCGCAGGTGCTTGCAACTGATTGGCATGCCGTGCTTCGTCACCTGCACAGCACAGACACCAAGTCGACCACGTGCCCACGTCTGCACCTGATCCTCCAGGTCGACCTCGTGATACCACCACCGGGGTCAGCTTTGCCAAAACCACCTGGGCGACGATTGCGCACCTCTGCATATCTCCGTCACCCGGGTAACCTGGTCGACTGAGCAACCACCAAGTCGGCGCCGACTTGTGTGGTCGGTGTCGACCAGCTGCTTTACGTGCCCGTCGACCACCCAAGTCAACGATCACCAGCCGACTTTGTGCTCCCCAGGTCGACCAGACTGGCTGTTCGCCGACTCCACCAAGTCGGCTTCTCCAGGTCGGCCTCCCAAGTCGGCGCCGACTTCCCTGTCGATCTGCCTTCGATGTCGACGAGCCCCATCGTCGACCACAAGATGAAGTCGGCCGCCGGCTTCCCAAAGTCGACGGCATTGCAGTGGCCCCGTGCAGGTCAGCCAAACCGTTCGACCAGCTCGCCCAAGTCGGTGTCACCCACTACTACAAGTCGGCTGTACCTCCCGTACACCCGACAACGAAGTCGGCTCCGCCCAAGCGAGAACGAGGCCAACACATAACTCCCGTTGACAAGGGAAACTGAAGGCGACGCGAGGTTGCTTCGGCAGCAAGCAAACCGCCTGAAAGTGCACTTTTGAAAGTCGGGGTTGTACACGATGGAGTAAACCCTAGTAAGGAAAAGAGTTTATCCTTACACACTGAAGTGTACATAATATGTACTACTCATAAGCAGGGCATTTGTGTGGTGTATTCCCTTGTGCCATGTCAAGGAAGAAATCCGCAGGCACACACCACGTCATCACCCGCTGTTTCAATAGCTTCCCGAGATTGCGAGTGTGAAGATGGTGTGCCACTGCAATCCGCCACATGGCACCGACTGCTCACCAGGGTCACGAACCATGAGAATGTGCGTGAACCTTGGCAGCCTATCCCACGCTGTTCCCAGGACCTACCGAACCTGTGCCAAAATCTCCAACAGCTGCTGCCGAACCTTGAGCCGTAACGAGTGATACTGAGGGTGTGTCCAATGACGCCATTTTTGACAGCCAGTTTCGGCCTTGTACGTTAAGCCGCGAGGTGGATCCATTTGACAATTCACGAATTGGGTCTCAGTCAGAGCGCGCAAAATGCTTTCCAAAACAGCGAGCTCAAATGGGTGACGAGGCTCAGTCGCATCAGTGAACACGAGCCTTCCCCTCAGGGAAGCCACCCGAACAACTCTCTCGGCTTCCCCTGTGCTCCACCCGAACTGCTGGGGCTTTGCATGCACCTTCACCTCACAACTACAACCCGCCCTTGCCTCAAATCTGCAGGCATATCTGCTGGCAATTTCACACAGTGATCCTCGTCGCGGTTCCTAGCTTGCAGCAGTGTTATTCATACTTCGTGCTGCTGCTTTGGATTTGTTACCTTCAGTGTTGCGAGCAGGGGGCTTTTTTGGTGCGATACTACAGTTATTATTGTTAAGCGAGAGGAAGCTGATAGGATTAGCCATGGAGTGTCTAGCTCACAGGGTTCCAGCGCCTGTCGCGCTCGCGAACCCCAAGGTCGAGCACAGGCTTCCTGCTGCTTCCGCGTCGCTCAAGTTCGCCGCTAGCCCCACTCTCGGTAACCAGCTCGTTGCGAAAACTCGTCAAGCTGCACGTGCGAGCCAGTCGCAGCTTAGGCGAAGCACCCCTCGGTGCGAGGCTGCACCAGAAGGAGCTGCTCTTACAGCTCCTGAAAAGAAATCCTCGAGCGACGATACCATCCAACAGTTTCTACAACGGGATTACAAGTACGGGTTCGTGTCGAACATCGAGAATGTCCAGATTCCCAAGGGATTGACGGAGGAGACGGTGAGGCTGATTTCGGCGAAGAAGAAGGAGCCGGAGTGGATGCTGGAGTTCCGTTTGAGTGCGTTTCGACAATGGCAGAAGATGACCGAACCTGAGTGGTCGGACAATCGCTACCCGAAAATTGACTTCCAGGTATGAAGTGGATTCTGATGGAAGGTAGTGAATGCAATCCTGTAACATTCAAATGGAAAAGAAACGTTTGACAGACATAATAACAACAAAGAAGGGATGCAGTCCAGAAAGAATCTATACCAATCCATTCTCCGTCGAATGCGGCGGACGGTCCCTAACTGGCACGACGCCGTCCACTATAGCGGATGAGCGGAAAATATCAGCGCTTTATCGACGAAGTAGACTCCGAGGCTCGAGCTCAGTCATATTTGCTCCCTTTACCCCCTCCTTTTCCCCTTCCTCCATATCCCCTTCCTCCACATCCCCACCATCCCCCACTTTCCCCTCCACACACACCAGGACGTCATCTATTCTCTGAGACGAAGCAGAAGGAGGCCAATGCGTCTCTCGACGAGGTCGAGCCCGCATGTTGGCGACGTTCGACAATCTCGGCATCTCCATCTCGGAGACCCGGAGCTGCTCGCGGCGTTTGAGACGCGTTTCCCCTCAACAATACCCTCCCCCACGTTTCCCTCCCACACCCACCAGGACGTGATTTACTACTCCGAGCCGAAGCAGAAGGAGACGAAAGCCTCTCTCGACGAGGTCGACCCGGAGCTGCTGGCGACGTTCGACAAGCTCGGCATCTCCATCTCGGAGCAGAAGCGCCTCGCGAACGTCGCCGTCGACGTCGTCTTCGACTCCGTGTCCATCGCGACGACCTTTCGCGAAGAGCTCGCGAAGGCCGGCGTCATCTTCTGCTCCATCTCCGAGGCCATTCGCGAGTACCCGGACCTGGTCCGGAAGTACCTGGGGAAGGTCGTACCCGTCGCGGATAACTACTACGCCGCTTTAAACTCCGCCGTTTTCAGCGACGGGAGCTTCTGCTACATCCCTAAAGACACCATCAGTCCCATGGAGCTCAGCACGTATTTCCGAATCAACGCCATGGAAACCGGTCAATTCGAGCGGACCTTAATTGTGGCGGATGACCGGAGCTATGTGAGTTACCTGGAGGGATGCACGGCGCCGTCGTATGATAAGAACCAGCTGCACGCGGCGGTGGTGGAGCTGTGGACGGGCGAGGGCGCGGAGATTAAGTACTCGACGGTGCAGAACTGGTATGCCGGCGACAAGGACGGCAAGGGCGGGATCTACAACTTCGTCACCAAGCGCGGGCTGTGCGAGGGCAAGAACTCCAAGATCTCCTGGACTCAGGTACGCGGTTGTGGGTCATCTTTTAACGAGTTTTTATGGTCTTCAGTACTCAGCAAGCACACCTCCCCCTCCCCCCCCCCCACCCCTCCCGCCTTTTTTTTCTTTCCGGCCTCGTCCCTCACGCTCATTTCCCCTTACTCGCCCCTGCTCGGCTTGTGACTCATTTCCAGTACCTTTCAGTAAGGTATTGCTCAAGGGCGACAACATCTCGGAAAGATGTTCACTGCCCCTCTTGACTCTATAACGCGTACGTGCAGGTGGAGACTGGGTCCGCCATCACGTGGAAGTACCCGTCCGTGGTCCTCAAGGGCGACAACAGCTGCTAAAGATGCTCATTGCTTGTTATCGTTCCTCGTGTATAACGCGTACATGCTCCTTCTCGTGTTTCCTCAGGTTGAAACTGGGTCGGCCATCACGTGGAAGTACCCGTCCGTGGTGCTCAAGGGCGACAACAGCTCCGGGGAGTTCTACTCCGTGGCGCTCACCAATAACAAGCAGCAGGCTGATACTGGCACCAAGGTGGGTAGCGTGACAGGGACTCCGAGCTAGCTAGCAGGCGGACGTTTTAATCCTTGCGTAGCTTGTCGTGAATTTCGAGCCGGTTGGTTGGTAGCACTCAGCAGGCAGCAGGTTGACATGGTGCAGAAGTGTGGGGTAAAGGGCAGCAGGGTCTGTGGGGTGGGTGGGGTGTGGGGTGTGCTGGGGATGTGGGTGTGGTAGGACCACTTGCGTGAGACTGCTGCAGTTTCTTCAGGTGCAGAATGGTGCGAGGTCGTTCTGGTTGAACGGTGAAATATCCCAAGGACATATAGCCAGGTGCATGATGGTCCAAGGGCGGCTTGCTGAGAGGGAGGCATGTCTACACCACTGCCATGGCTGCCAATTACACGGCAGCCCAGCTGGCTGAGATGCCCGACCTCTATTCCTCTCTCGTCTTCCCGTCCAAGCCCCTATTTCCCTTCACTGGGGGAAGAACACTTGCAGCCGCTCTGTCTCATTCTCTTGTTCCGTCCAATCCCCTTCTCCCATCCACACACCAGATGATCCACGTGGGGAAGAACACGCGTAGCCGCATCGTCTCAAAGGGCATCTCGGCAGGGCAGTCGCTCAACTGCTACCGGGGGCTCGTGCAGGTGCAGCCCACGGCGCATGGAGCACGCAACTACTCTCAGTGCGACTCCATGCTCATTGGGGATAACGCTGGCGCCAACACGTACCCGTACATCCAGGTGAGTGTTATGAAATAACGATTCCTGTGAATGCTTTGGAGTGCATTTGCATGTGGGTGTGCATATGCTGGTGGATGTCTGCCTGTTCGTAGTGGTGAAATGTGTGTAGCTGATTTGATGTTTATCTTCTCGAATGCGCTCGAACCCACTTGAATGCAGGTGAAGGATCCAACGGCACGGGTGGAGCATGAGGCTTCCACGTCCAAGATTGGGGAGGATCAGCTGTTCTACTTCCAGCAAAGAGGCATTGACGCCGAGAAAGCAGTGGGCATGCTCATCAGCGGCTTCTGCCGTGAGGTTTTCAACGAGCTTCCTCTGGAGTTTGCCTCAGAAGTCAACCAGCTCATGAGCCTCAAGCTCGAGGGCTCCGTTGGTTAAAAATAAATTTGTGCTATTGCTTTTTTTTTTTTGTGTGCTAGTTCAAGTTATCTTCTGTCTGGTGTATAAATATACGAGGAAAAATGTACTTCAGACTGGTGAAGCTGGTAAACCGTAGCCCGTAACGAACTCGCTCGAATTCATTCATTTGCTCCATAAAGGGGATAAGGCGGAAAATCGCGAACCCAGTCCTGTAAGCAGCAGCATCAGCAAAGCCAGTCCTGTCTGTTGTTCATTGTCACTTTTCCGAGGAACGTGATTAATTGTCAGACACAGCTCAGCAGCCATGGCTGCTGGAGCATTAAGTCGGAGTGTCCATCCATTGCGGCGTCGATACTCCGGTGTAACGACGATTCGTTCGTATCTGCATTCCTTGGACTTCTCGTCGCCATCGTATTTGCAGCACTCACCATGCACCTCGAATCCACCTCATTCGCACTCGCTGGTCGTCGATCTTAGCGAAGTTGCTGCAGTCCCCGCTACCAACGCGTACACAGATTCGCTCCATTATGCTCCCTCCCGGTTAGAATCATATCCGTTAGGAGCTCAATCCATTTCTGAAAGACTGTCCAGACTTTGGTGCTTGCAAACTAGATCATTTCAATCCGAGATCTCTGGTTCTCGAACATTTCTTGCTCGTATCTCAATTGAGCAGTCTGCAACCTTCCCTCTCAGTACCTCCTCCTTCGCCTTATCGCGTCCGTTCCGGTTCCCCCAAATCCCTGCCGCTCCGTTCTCCTGCTCATCGCGAAGACAATCGAACACCTCCGGCCGTCAACGTAGCCGTCCGAATGACCGTCAAAACAGCCGGCAGAACGATCGCCAGAACGGCCGTCAGGTTGGCCGGCGGGTCAGTGGCGACGCCTCCAAGAAAGAGAGCAGACGTGGAGAGAAGATCGGGAATGAGCAGAGAGCTGAGACGCCTGGTAGAAAGGAGATGTTCAGGGGAAAAAGGACCCGGGACGTGGGGGAACAAAGTGTTGGGAAAAAGAGGACCCAGGGCTTGGAGGAGAGGAATGAGAATGAGCAGAGAAATGAGACGCCTGGTAGACTGGAGGCATTCAGGAGGAAGAGGACTCGCGAGGAGAAGGATCGGAGCGTTGGGAAGAAGAGGACCCATGACGTGGAGGAGAAGGTTTTAAGAATTCTCAAAAGTGATTCCCATGAGGTGGGGGAGAAGGTTGGGAATGAGCAGAGAAGTGAGGCGCCTGGTAGAAAGGAGGCATTCAGGGCAAAGAGGACCCGCAGCGTGGAGGATCAGAGCGTTGGGAGAAGGAGAATTCGTGGAGCGGAGGAGCAGACCGTAGGGAGACACGGCATGGTCAAGTTGAAGGAAAAAAGGCACGAGGACGTACAGGTTATGAAGCAGGGGTGTGAACCTACGCGGCAACGGCATCAGCAGAAGAAAGGGTATGAGCAGCAGCGCAGCTCACCAGCGGACGACACAGACAATGGGCCACTCCCGTGGCGACAGCTGGCACCGGTCCACTTCCCCTCCCTGCTGCCCGTTCAGGAGAGATGGAAAGGAGGAGGGATGAGGGAGGGAGAAGGGATGAGCTCTGAAGGGGAGGCTGGTGGAGTTGTGAGTGCGCGCAAGTGGGTGGCGGTGTGCTGCCCTCACATGCCAGCGAGCCTCGTCCATAAACTGTTCCGAAAGAGACTGGTGAGTGGGACGGGGAATGTAAAGCCCGTTACTGTACGGAAATGTTTCCCACTCCCCCCATCTTCCGCATGCAATGCAATCAGTATTCTCTTTCCCTATCATGTCCAAGCTGATTCATCCTCTCCGTCACCTTCCAAAAATGGAATCTTACTTGTGTGTCTGTCACCTCGTCACCCCTTTCACCTCGTAACCCCTTTCCACCTCGTCACCTCACCTCGTCACCCCTTTCCACCTCGTCACCTCGTACCCCACCAGGTGCGAGCCCTGTCTCCACCGGATTCACCTTTCACCTTGAATGCCTCACACGCACGTTCAAACAAGCTATCGCGGGTAAGTTTCTGTACCCAAACATTACTGCTGCAAAGCGTTACTGTACCAAAAACGTTCATGTACCAAAATGTTTCCTTTTCCAATCGCATCATGGAATGTGATGGCTTGGCTTGGTTTGGCAGGTATCAGCCAGCCAAATGCTCCTTCCAGGAACCATCCTGTGCATCCCATCTTCTGTCCGACTGCACACCGATTCGGATGCAAACGCTGCAACATTCGTGTCGAGCGATGGCAAACGTGTTGCTCCCTCCTCCTCTTCCTTGCCACGTGGCATTCAACCAGAGGATATCGAATTGCTCCAGAAGTCTGTTCTGTTCAAGGTACGTAAGAGCTAGGCATTGGTGATACATTTTGTTCTTCTGAGGGGACCATACAATGGATATAGAACAAAATATGGTTTTAGAATCTGGACGCACGCATGGGGCAGCTGTTTGAGCCCCACATGACCACCACCACAACAAGAGGTCGAACCTACGACAACTCATGGTTGTGCCATGTATTCCCTTCCCTTTCCACTGCCTGCCCCTTCCCGTGCCCCTTCCCGTGCCTCTTCATCCCCTGTCTTTCCTTCCGCTTTGTCAACGCCCTTCCCCTGCCCGTGTCAACACTGTCTCAAAAAAACCGTCTGTGTCACGCCATCCTCCTGTGCCACACCATTCATCCCCCCACCCTCCCTTCCTCTTCCCATGGCAGGATGAGCACATAATCGCCATCAACAAGCCGCCAGGCCTGCCCTCCCAGGTAGCCATTTACAACCACAACAACCACTGCACCTGAATTCTGCACACTCGATGTACCAAAATCTGCTCAAGTGAAAGCTGCTCGTTGAGCTACCAGGTTCCAAATCTGCCCTTCCTTGAGTTTATTAGGTCGCTGTATCCAGTGCACAGATGTCGATCCACGAACTGGTTCTGTTGACTTTTGAGTCGACTCAGAAGATCCACGAACTGGTTCGATTGCGTTTCTTCAAAGCAACTTCATATTAACATCATGCCACCAGGATTTTCCATTCTCTCTGCCGTATTGCCACATCTGCTGGCTCTGTACGTTCACCTTTTGCCTCAATAGTGGTTCATCGATCCTGTATGCGCGCGAAACCCTGTATGACTGTTTCGCAGGGGGGCTACAAAATGGGTCTCTCGGTGGACACCCACATGCAGCACGCCCTCGCTCTATTTCTGTCTGTGTGCCTCATTCTCCGTGACTATATCGCAGTGACTCATTTCCTGTGTGACTGTATCGCAGGGGCCTATAAAGTGCGTCTCTCAGTGGACAATCTAATGCAGCATGCCCTAGTCGCTGACTCCCCTCTGCATCCTTGACGGTGTGATCCACCGGTTCTCTAAATGTGCTTATCTCCGTGTGACTGTATCGCAGGGGGGATACAAAGTGCGCCTCTCAGTGGACAATCTAATGCAGCATGCCCTAGCTGCTGACTCCCCCGAGCCTCTTCGCCTGGTTCGGACCAGACCCATCCCTATGTGCCATAGGCAGCATACTGCATGGAATACCTTGCGTACAGCATGGCTTGCCTTGTATTCAGACTGCCCTTTTTCACACCCCATTATCACATCCTTTTGTAATATCCATGATACCCTTTCCTGTGGCTTTGTTTTTCTTGGCACCCATTGCACCCCCTTGCATGCCCACATGCCTTCACATGTCCGGCTCTCGCCCAATCAGGTGCATCGCTTGGACAGAGAGACAAGTGGCGTCTTGCTATTGGCCCGCTCACCCGCCAGTGCTCGTGTGCTCTCATCATTGTTCCGCGATAAGAGTGCTGCCGGTGTCCATGCTGCTGCTGTTGGTGCTGCCAGTGCTAATGGTGCTGGTGATAAGAGCGATAATGGTGACGCTACAAGTTCTGCTGGCGATGACGGGAGCGCTGCTGCTGCTGCCGCTGGTGCTAATGGTGCTGGTGATGAGAGTGATAATGTCGACGCTACTAGTGCTGCTGGCGATGACGAGAGCACTGCTGCTGTTTGGTCGAGCGAGGGCGGCGTGGCACGTATGTACTGGGCGGTGGTGATTGGCCGGCCGAAACAGCTGTCAGGGGTCATAAATGCGCCACTGCACAAGGTTTGTTGGGTGTGCGTGTGTGTGTTTGTAAGGGTGCGTTTGGTGATATTTGCACCATTGTCTGAAGTTTGCAGTACGTGCCTGTGCCTGTGCCTGTGCCTGTGCCTGTGCCTGTGCCTGTGCCTGTGCCTGTGCCTGTGCCTGTGCCTGTGCCTGTGCCTGTGCCTGTGCCTGTGCTTGTGTGTAAATGTGTGCGGAAGTATGTTCGCAAGCACATGCATCATGTACGTGTGACAAAAAGTGTGTGTGTGTGTGTGTGTGTGTGAGTGTGTGTGTGTGTGTGTGTGTGTGTGTGTGTGAGTGTGTGTGTGTGTGTGTGTGTGTGTGAGTGTGTGTGTGTGTGTGTGTGTGTGAGTGTGTGTGTGTGTGTGTGTGTGTGAGTGTGTGTGAGTGTGTGTGTGAGTGTGTGTGTGAGGGTGGGTGCACGTCAAGGTGTTAGAATCAATCAATCAATCAACACTGCATGCATGATGGCATGTGTATCTGGAAAGCCCTCTATGTGCCTGACTACCTGGTGGTTTGGGTACATGGAAGCCCTCTCTCAGAGCGATTGCATCATTCGAACGTGGATTTCCACAGGATCTTCGGTTGCTTTCTGTTTCTAGCTTCAACATTCCCTTTCCTGCTGCTCCTTCAAATCTGGTTGGCTTTTCTCATTCTTATTTTCCAGCCGGACAACGATTCAAACTCGCCCACTAAGGAGCTGCCAGCTGTCACTCTGTACCGAGTTATCCAGAGTTCACCTTCTGGTGGGTCCACGGCAGTTCTGGTGGTGCATGAGTCGTTCCATGGTTACGAATTCTATCTTTTCTTCTTCTTTTTATTTTACTCAAAAACTGCCTGCTCGGTCCATGGAAGCTGTTGGTGTGTGAGTAAGGTGTTCATGGAAAAGACTTTTGAGGCTCCTCAAAAGTTGTAAATTCATGGGGTGCTCATTGTTACGCTTCTTTCTCATCTCACAATACACACATAATTCACCTTTTTATGCTTAACTTCTGCATGTGCTTCGTTGGCTGGCTTGCTGCATGTAGGGTACTCGTGGTTGGAGCTGCGCCCATTGACGGGACGGAAACACCAGGTGGGTGTGAGTCTGTATGCCAAGTCGATTTTTGAGTTGAAAATAGACTTATCGCACCAGGATACTCGTGGTTGAAGCTACGCCCATTGACCGGACGGAAACACCAGGTATGTGTTTGTGTGCGTGCATGTGTTTGCATCACAGTCTGGTGCACATGCTAAAGCAGAATTTCCTTATTTTTCAACTCTTACGCCCTCACCCCTTCCCCCCCCCCCCCCCCCCCCCGCCTCTGTCCGACTTTGTTGCCACAACTGTACACTTGGAATTGGATTTTGCAACTTGAACCACCTGACCCATGCGTCATTGTTGCAAATCAGTTATTTCCGCTCCGTCTAGTTGTACAATTGATTGGTTTCATTCTCGCTTCACACCACCTGTTTTGTATGTTGGTCTGATGTTTTCCTTTCCTCATTCTTTCAGCTGCGCATTCACTGTGCCTTGGCACTTGGGTGCCCGATACAAGGCGACATGACGTACGGGGCATGGGCACACAAAGGAGTATCTAGTGTACCTTCAGAAACTACACCTCAGTCAGCTCTTCCTGATGGACTGCACCTTCATGCGCGGTCGATACAAGTGCCTTTTTTGGTTTCATCCGATGATTGGCGCTCACAAGACAATGGTACAGGGCGGATGAAGAGGCGTGCCAATGGGGAGCTTAGTGCACATGGGGTGGTAGCGGAAAAGCATGGTTGTGGAAAGAGAACGTTCACTGCGCCTATTTCCGCGCACATGGCAGAAACATTTTCCATTCTTGCATTCGACAGTGGAATCAGTTGAGATATTCTAACATTTCATACCAGCTTGATTCCTTCCATGCTCGTACTTGTTATGGAGTATTATGGGGCCAGTGCATGTCGCGTCACTATTGTCAGAGATTCGATCTACATTCAATCGAAATTCGCTATACAACTCCGCTGAAGCAAACGGCCCTCTAGACAGCAGCCGCTGGCTCCTCCTTACCTCATAGGTAAGAGTCGAAGCAATTACACAGTCGGGTCGGGAATTTCGGATACGGCATCGGAATTATCTAGGATCGTAATACACAGTCGCGGAGACGCGAGACCGCACCACAATAACTCAGATGGACGGTATCGTGGATTCGTGGAAGCTTCCATCGCCAGTCGCATCCATGTCCACGTCAGACCCTTCTTTCCAGCTCATTGACTGTCACGCGCACACGTACCCTTCTCAGTTCCCTCACACCGACTTCCTCCCTCTCCTCCGCCGCGCTGCTGCTGCGTGCGTCTCCCACATCGTCACGGTTCCGGAAACCCTAGCAGACGCTCACGAGATCCTGGCTCTGGCGCAATCCCATCCGCTCATCTTCCCCGCAGAATGCGCACCTGGAATCTCGCACCCAGCGAACCAATCCGAACCTTCTGCCTCGGCTCGGCGCAGCTCGGACATTTTCGGATTGAGAATTGCTCCTGCCATCGGGCTGCACCCAGTCCAGCCAAAACCCTGTCCGCCTGACGTGGACACGACGTCAGCAGGCTGTAACGAAGCGTCAGCCTCAGCATTATCTCACTCTGTCCAGTTGTGCGAGCTGGAGCCAGTGTTGGATCTCATTCGATCCAAGGCGGAATGTGGCCTGCAGGGAAGGACAGGAAACACAGTGCATGAAATGGAAGGTGACAACGTTTCAGTAGACACAGTGGAGGAGGGTTCAAAAACCACGGTGCCTTTGGTTTGCGTTGGCGAGATTGGCCTTGATTTCAGCCCGAGTGTGGTTGGCAAGTCAACAGGTGGTGATAGCAGCAGCAGCATCGGCAGCAGCGGCCGTATGAACAACAGCAACAATAACAACAGCGGAATAAGTGCCTTGCAGTCAGAGGAACTCAAGAGCGTGCAGAGGGAGGTGTTTCGGCGCCAGCTTTCTTTATCAGCAGAGCTGGGTTTGCCAGTCAATGTCCATTCCCGCAGCGCGGGACACCATGCCATAGAGGAGATTGTCCAATCAGGACTTCCTGCCACGTCAGCAGCTTTGATGCATGCGTTTGATGGGCGGTTGGTGCATGCGCAACGGGCTGAACGGCATGGTGGATTCTTCTTTTCTGTGCCACCCTCTATTGTCCGGTCGCCACAAAAACAGGTATGTCTGAGTGTGCAACCTGAATTGATTGCTGAGTAGGAGGCTTGCTGTTTGGGATGGTATGACACTGACTCTAGCTGTTTCACATCGTTTCCTTTTGTGATTGTGCTTATCTTTTTGTGGGCGAATTGCAGAAACTCGTGAAGGGCCTTCCACTTTCGTGCCTTGTGCTGGAGACGGACTCTCCTGCACTTGCTCCTGAAAAGGGTGCCACCAATGAGCCGTGCAATATTGTGGTATCGTGTAGGGAAATAGCTCGCATCCATGGCGTGACTGTTGCTGAAGTGGCCAAGACCACATGTGAGAATGCGATGTGTCTCTTTCCGCGTCTGAACCTGTTATGAGAGGAATGCATTTGGCCTTTTATCAAAACAATTATTCACATATCAAACCGGGAAGTAGCAATAGATGTACCCGTATGTGCCACCGCGAACTGCTTGTATTGTTTGTTAACGAAGCTTTCCAATCGGGTTTTTAGAAACCTCATCCATTCCGGGAGAACCGTTGTGACATGATATTTTGCCCCACGTCGGCTCTCATTTCGCACCCACATATCGAAATGTCGTCTTTCAGGTTCCGTAGTGAATTCGTTGTCGCAGCTTCGCTCGTCGATGCGCAACAGATCGACGATCACCAACAATGCCGACATTGCCCAAGTGAAAAAGTACAGTCAGAGCTCCACGTCGGGAACAAAAGTGCGCTTGACCAATCCGAGTGTTCCGCGTTCAACGAACAGTTTGCCGCGTCAGCCTAGCAACAGCCACCTGCAGCTGCGCATGACACTCCCCTTTCCGCTGCTCACACAATCGATCCACAAATCGCCACGGAAAACCCAGTAGCTGACTCCTTCCCCCAGCCAACCCCGTTCCCAGAATTGACTGAACGGAAATCCCCCAGGAGCCATGTCAGCAACCTGACGGTAATCGTCAGCTGGCAAGCAGGAGTCGTCAGTATGCTCTCACCACAAACCACTCTGACCCATCCATCCAAGCCAAGCTCCATACCTCTTTATTTGCTGCATCTTTCCTTTTCGCTCTTTTCAAGTTTGCAGCTTTCCTTCGTCTCCTGATTTCAGAGGCTCCTCTAGCATCCTCTGATTTTTTATCAGCTTCACATCTCCCAATGGCTGCCGTCACTCTTTCACAGACAGCGACGGCCTCGTGCCGTGCCACTTTCAGCTCAGTGAAGCTTGAGTCGAAGGTCAAGAGGTCCGTCAGCCTCGCCGTGCAGCCCGCCTTTGCCTGGAAGTCTGCTGGCGTGGCTTCGACCGCCTCGTTCAAGGGAGTCGGCTCGGTTGTCGTCAGAGCGGTCGCGGAGGATGTGCAGGGTGGCGGAAACTACGGTGCTCCTCGCGAGATTCCAGGCACCAAGATCTATGTCGGCAACTTGCCGTTCAACGTCGACAGCGAGTCGCTCGCTGAGATCTTCCAGGAGGCTGGCATCGTGGAGCTTGTGGAGGTGAGTTCGCCTTTTAGGCTTTTTTTTTTGTTTTTGATCAGTTGAAGGTTTAAGTACGAGTTGCAGTTTCTTCACCTTCGTGAATGATAGTCAATTGTAACCGTTCGATCTTTACTTCCTGGGTTTCGTTAAACCTGCTATGGACCAATTTCTTCCAATTTTGCCTGTCTGCTTTTGTTTTATTATTTTCTCTGCTTCTATGCTTGCAGGTAATTTACGACAGGGAGTCTGGTCGCAGCAGGGGTTTCGGGTTCGTTACGATGAGCACCCCTGAGGATGCTCAGGCTGCCATTGAGAAGTTTGACGGCTCGGTGAGTTAAACCTTTCTATTTTCATTTCTCTGACTGCACATTGTCATATTGTTCATCAACATGAGGATTTAAACGTGAAGTAATTGAAGCCTTAATGTACTCCCCTGTTGTCAATGCTCTTCCGATCATAAGTCACATTCGAGAGCGAAGTGTTCAAAAGCTAGTTACGTGTGCGAAGAGTCTGACAAGTGGTTTTCGTAACTTTTTTAATTGTTGTTGTTCCTCACCGTTCACTTTTCGTCAACGCGTGCAGGAACTCGGCGGCCGCATGCTCAAGGTCAACATGCCCGTTCCCCGTGGCGAGCGCGAGAGGGGTGCACGCAACGAGAGGCCACGTGGCGACAGGCCGCGTTTCGGCGGTAACCAGAGCAACAAGCTTTACGTCGGCAACCTGTCGTGGGGCATGGACGACATGGCTCTGGAGGATCTGTTCGCGGAGTTCGGCAAGGTGCTCGAGGCCAAGGTCGTCCTGGATCGCGACTCCGGCAGGTCCCGAGGGTTCGGCTTCGTGACCCTGTCGAGCGAGTCGGAAGTGCAGGAGGCGATCTCGAACCTCGATGGAGCTGTAAGTACCGATTCCACGCTCAAAATGCGACTGCGTTGTAGGCTTGTCGTTTTCAATATTTGTTTCCTGCGTAGGGAAGTTTCAAGCAAACCCCTATGCTTTCTTGGATTGTTCTCACCTTGTCTCTTGTTTCCCGCTTTTTATTCTCGTTGTCTCAGGACGTTGACGGCAGACAACTGCGGGTCAATGTCGCTGCTCCCAAGCAGTAGCAGCGCTTTTGTCAGCTATTCCCTGCAGGGGTTTTCTATCTCCCTTCACGACTATTAGGTATCAGTTATGGACCGTTTGGGTTTCCTTCCGCTGTATTGATGGCTGCATTAATTTTTTACCTTTCCTACTACAACCGGTTTTTAGTCACGTGACCATGAGACTGCAAACGCTGAAGGCCACACATTTCATGCGCATAACCCCTTCTCCCCTCACTCTCGTGCGCTTGTTCGCGGACCACTCACGGGGGCTCGCATGTTATTTCTCTTGCCCAACCTCTATCCCCTCACACCGACTCTCCCTCAGTCCCCCCCCCCCACACCCTCCGCGTGCTCTGCGTCGCTCTACCTCGTCCCCTCGTTCTCTGACTCTCTTCTTCTCTCTAGTTGGTCCTGGTTGTCCCTTCCCTTTCTCGTCCTCGTTCTTCCCTCCTTTCTTACTCGCTATCCACCTCTTCCGTTCTGTCCCCGTGTTCATTGCTGCTTGCTCTGCACGCCTTCCACCGAGTTGTTACCCTGTAACCCATTGCGGGTGTTTCCCATTCCAGCTCCTGATCTAGTCTCGTCAGCTGTTCTACTCACAAGCTCGTCCTCTTCTCCCGTCTCTTTCTCTGTCTCCGCTCGTTCACTTCGTGGGCTGCACTAAGTCCTTCGTGTCCCTTAAGTCCTTGTTCACTTCTGTTCCCTTTCCTTGCGTTCCCTAACTGGGTCCTTTCTGAAATGCACGTGAGCTAAGGCTGTGATTCTTCGCGCCCTCTGGAAACCACTTGTTTTCCGTATCTGCATGTTTGTCGCCTCCACCCACGCTTCACTTCTCACAGTTCCGAGAAGCTTATCACAGAAGGAATATATGAAACACCTGCATGTTTGACCTAGTACACGTGTTGTCTGGGAAATTTAGCAGCTTATCAGACAGAATTGCAATTTGGCGATATGAGTCAGGGAACACCAGAAAATCCACCTAGAGCCAAGATTACATTTTCAGAATCATGTCGTATAGATCACACCTCCCCATTATGCGCGTGCTTGGATATGATCCATTCTACCGTATTTGTTTTTTTCACAATTGAAACCTTTGCTTGCACACCAGGAAAATCATTTCTATCTTGTAACGAGTGCAGCACAAAGAACCTCGTGCATGGGTGTAGTGCAGTGAACGGCTAGGCTACTCGGGAAACTGGTCCAAGCATTGGTTACTCTGGGAAAGCTAAAGCTCTCCGACTCCAACTGCCGCTTCATGTCACTCATTAGAATAATTTTGAGAACTTACATTCTACTTATCAGCCACCTACTTTGCATTTCTACTTAGCACAGACATTAGCATTGAGTCAAACACTAACTCTAAAGATGCCTAAAACGGGCTAATGAATTTAGCTGCGCTCAGCAGCACTTTCGGAACCATCCACTTGCGCTCTGGTCCCAGTGCTCCTGCTCGCGCCCCCACAGCAACTGGCTCTTGCATTCCCGGTCTTGGCAACAATCCAGAAGTGGCAGCATCAACATCGCCTCCAGCATACGCAGTTCGCTTTCCAGAATCCTGAGAACTGAAATTCGTCTCCCCAGCTCCACAGCACTGCAAAGCTGGACACTGGGTAGCGATTTCACCAGGAACAATGACAGCAGCAGAAATTGATCTCTGACACGTCGCAAAACCACTCAATCCAGGCGGCACAGTAGCGGGAGATGCAGCAGCAGTAGCTTCAGAGGTGCCTGGGGCGGACTTTGAAGGGCATGCAGCTTCTGCTGCAAGATCCAATGCCGACGTGGCAGAATTTGATTGGTGGCTGTGGCTGTGGGTGTGGCTGTGAATGTGGCTGTGAATGAGGCTGTGCCTATCCACGGCATGCACAATGTCCAAAATATCTTCCACCAGCTCGTCTCTGCCGCCCCGAAACAGATCCTACAATTGGAAAGGGGATGGGAAAGGGAAGGGAGAAGAGAGAAATAAGCGGGGAGGCAAAGCTCTGCCTTGAGTAAGCTCTGCTGGCTGCGATTTAGGAAGCTCCTTCATATGCAACATAATGTTTCCCTCTACAGTGACCCCCCCACAGTGACATTCGATTTAGGCATAGGGCTTGCAATGTGCCCCTCGACAGTTACAAGCTTTTCTCGCAGCATGAGATCAACATACTCCTCCTAACCACTGTACAGCTTCAGTTTTGTCCTTGACTGTACCCTTTATAGAGCGATTCATCGCACCTGAAGAGTGAGATCGATGTGCCCCTTGCCACTGTACAGCTTTACTCTCGTCTCCACTCCTGCTGTCTGCAGCGCTGCTCCAAAGTCCTCACTGTCATGCCATGCCATGCCATGTCATGCCATGCCATGCCATGCCATGTCACACACATGCAAAGCAAGGAGGAAAAAGAATCCGATGAGGTAAGGTGTGGCAAGGCGAGCAGTAAGGTTCGGTAAGTGGCGGTAAGGTGCAAGGAAAGGAACGGAAAAGTCATTCACCCCATGGTACAGGTGCTCAGGGAGCAGGGATGATTGCAGCAGGTGTGACTATAACAGGTGCAGCTGTAGCAGGTGCGTCTACATACCTGGCAGTGAAAGGAACAGAAAAGTCATCCACCCCATAATAGGGGTGCACCAGGGGCAGCAGGGGGGCGGCAGGTGTGACTGCAGCAGCCGTGACTATGACAGATGAAAATGCACGTATGTGAGTAGCTGTGACTATTACCAGGCAGTGAAAGGAAAGGAAAGGAACAGATACATCGCCATCACTCCGTGCTAGATGTGCACGGGGGGGCAGCAGGTGTGATTGTAAGGGGTGATCATAACAGGTGTGACTACACTGTCCTTCCTGCCTGGCAGTGAACGGATCGAAAATATCGCCTCCCCTGTGATAGAGTGCAAGGGGGGCAGCAGCAGGGGGGCTGCGGGTGTGATTGTAACAGGTGTGGCTCTAAAAGATGCGACTATAGCGTACCTGGCAGTGAAAGGAACGGATATATCGTCCACCCCATGATAGAGGTGCACGGGGGGCAGCAGGGATGCAGCGGCCTTGAAGGTGGGGCGAGACATGAGGAGCTCGGGGGAGAAGAGGGGGAGGGACTCCTCGCCCTCGAATATGCTGTGGTTGGGAGGGTGAGAGGGAGTGAGGAGGGGTGAAAGGCGGTGTGAGGATTAGGGGGATATTGGGCAGAGGGATCAAGGGCAGGGTTGGGGTCGAAGATGGGGAAGGGGAACAGGACGAGCATTAGGGGAAGGGGAACGGTAAGTGAAAGAAGAAAAGTCAAGGGAAATGGAAGGGGAAGGGGAAGGGGAAGGGGAATGGAGCGAGAAAAAGCTGGCCGAGACAAGGGACCGAAACAGTACACGAAACAATGTAAGCTGTACGAAAACAAACTAATAATGGCGAGTCTAGACACACATGAGATGCTATGCTGACTCACGAGAGGAAGAGGTAGGGGTTCATGCCCCTGGACTCAAATTGTGGTGCCAGGTTGATCAGGTTGTAGCTGGGGTTGGGGGGAGGGGTGGGAAGGGGCAGGGAGGAGGGGGTAGGGGAAGTGCAGAGAGAGAGTGGCTTTTGAGTCGGCTGATAAGCGGTAGGGGTTCATGCCCCTGGACTCAAATTGTGGCGCTTATTTTGTTCATTCGTTTGTTTGTTTGTTTGTTTCCAGTTATTTCAAATGAAACACCTCAACAACAAGGCATCCACAATCTGCAGAGGAACGAACATGCCGAAATGCACACGCACGCACCAAGCACAGAAGAAGCATCCGCAGCTCACGCCACTCCCCCTGCTCCAACGCCCCTCCTCTCCCCACCTCAACCATCTCACCTCCCGTTTCTTCCTCCTCCCCTCTCAAACCTTACCACCCTCCCCCCCCCTCCACACCCCCCTGCACCACCCCCAAACCCCCCCTCCCCCTTTCCCCTTCTTTCCCCACCTTCTCCAGCTCACCATCCCGAGACGCCAATGAAAGATTTGATTTGCTCGCTGCCCCACACGTCAAGCACGCCCCTCCCCGGCTCGTTCCCCTCCGCTCCGCCGCTCCCCGCCAGGTGCGCCAGCAGCCTCCGCATCGACAGCGAGCGGAATAGCGGCGTCCTAGCGCGCAGCGCTTCCGCCGCCGCCTCTATCTCCGCGCGCAGCCCCGCGGGTGGCGCTGCTTGCGGGTCGGCGGGGGAACCGGCGGAAGCGACGGGCGGAAAGACAGAAGCGGCGGGGAGGGGGAAAGGGGACGCGGGGGGACCAGAGGCGGCGCAAGTGGCTAAGTCGGGGAGGGCGGCAGGGGCGCGATTTCCAGAATCGGGGAATCTTGTAACGGGGACGTCGGGAATAGTGACAGCGGCAGAACAGGCGTCGACTGGATGAACTTTCGCGGAAGCAGCGCCTGCTGCCACGAAGGGGAATACAGACGGAAAGCGAATCAACGCTTCTTGTCCTGCTGCTGCTGGAGTTTCCGCTACACTAACAACTACCCCTACTCCTGAACACGAGCAGTCTCCTGCAGAAGTCGTCTGCTGCTGCTGCTGCTGCTGCTGCTGCTGTTGTTGTTGCTGCTGCTGCTGCTCATGCAAGTTGCGATCAAAGGGCGACAGATTATGCTGCTGCTCCGAAGGCGGCGCTTCCGCAGCGCGCATCAAAGCCTGTCTTATAATCGCCACGGACGACAAGTGCGCTCCGGCCGACTGCCCCGCGAGGTGCACGCGACTCGGGTCGCCGCCGTACCGGTGAATATTTTGCAGCACCCAGCCGATGCCACGTGTCACGTCGTCGAGCATACCGCTGACGGTGGCCTGCGGGAAGTTCCTGTAGTCTATACTCGCTACAATCACGCCGCGTTCCTCTAACGCCTGTGCTAATAGCGTGCCCCAGGCCTTGTATCCTATGATCCACGCGCCTCCAGTTATGAAGATAACGACGGGGCGAGGGTGCGGGGAGGGGGTGCCGGGGACGAATATATCCAAGCTGGATGGGGGAAAGGGGGAGGGGGGTAGGGGAGGGGGGTACGGGGAGGGGGGGGGGAAACGAGAGGACGGGAGAAAGAAAGCGGAAGACGAGAGAAACGGAGAAGAGGAGAGAAGGAGAAGAGAAGAGAAGAGAAGGACGCCTTGAAACGAAAGTCTTGGAAGCGGGACGAGCAGAAACGGGAGAGGAAGAAGAGCGGGAGAGAAGGAGGAAGGAAGAGGGGGAGGGGGAGAAGGAGAAGGAGGAGGAGGGAGGGGGAGAAGGAGGAAGAGAGGGAGAGGGGGAGGGAGAAGAGAGGAGAAGGAGGAAGAGAGGAGGAGAGGGGAGGAGGAGAAGAGGAAGGAGGAGGGGAGGGGAGAGGGAGAAGGAGAGGAAGAGAGGGGAGGGGGAGAAGGAGGAAGAGAGGGGAGGGGGAGAAGGAGGAAGAGAGGGGGAGGGGGAGAAGGAAGGAAGAGAGGGGGAGGGGAGAAGGAGGAAGAGAGGGGAGGGGGAGAAGGAGGAAGAGAGGGGAGGGGGAGAAGGAGGAAGAAGGAGGGGAGGGGGAGAAGGAAGGAGGAAGAGCGGGGAGGGGGGAGAGGAAGGAAAGAGAGGGGAGGGGAGAAGAGAGGAAGAGAGGGGAGGGGGAGAAGGAGGAAGAGAGGGGAGGGGGGAGAAGGAGAGAAGAAGACGAAGAGAGGGGAGGGAGAAGGAGGAAGAGAGGGGAGGGGAGGAAGGAGAAGGAGGAAGAGAGGGGAGGGGGAGAAGGAGGAAGAAGAGAGGGGAGGGGGAGAAGAAGGAGGAAGAGAGGGGAGCGGGGGAGAAGGAGGAAGAGAGGGGAGGGGGAGAAGGAGGAAGAGAGGGGAGGGGGAGAAGGAGGAAGAGAGGGGAGGGGGAGAAGGAGGAAGAGAAGGGGAGGGGGGAGAAGAGGGAAGAGAGGGGAGGAGGAGAAGGAGGAAGAGAGGGGGAGAGGGAGAAGGAGGAAGAGAGGGGAGGGGGAGAAGGAGGAAGAGAGGGGGGGGGGGAGAAGGAGGAAGAGAGGGGAGGGGGAGGAAGGAGGAAGAGAGGAGAGGGGAGGGGGAGAGAGAAGGAGGGAAGAGGAGGGGAGGGGGGAGAAGAAGGAGGAAGAGAGGGGGAGGGGAGAAGGAGGAAGAGAGGGGAGGGGGGGAGAGGAGGAAGAGCGGGGATGGCGGAGGGAGAAGAGGAAGAGAGGGGAGGGGGAGAAGGAGGAGAGAGGGGAGGAGGGGAGAAGGAGGAAGAGAGGGGAGGGGGGAGGGGGAGAAGAAGGAGAAGAGAGGGGAGGGGGAGAAGGAGGAAGAGAGGGGAGGGGGAGAAGGAGGAAGAGAGGGGAGGGGGAGAAGGAGAAGGAGGAAGAGAGGGAGGGGGAGAAGGAGGAAGAGAGGGGAGGGGGAGAAGGAGGAGAGAAGAGAGGGGGGAGGGGGAAGAAGGGAAGAGAGGGGAGGGGAGAGAAGGAGGAAGAGAGGGAGGGGGGAAGAAGGAGGAAGAGAGGGAGAGGGGAGGGGGGAGAAGAGGAAGAGAGGGGAGGGGGAGAAGGAGGAAGAGAGGGGAGGGGGAGAAGAAGGAGGAGAGAGGGAGGGGGAGAAGGAGGAAGAGAGGGGAGGGGGAGAAGGAGGAAGAGAGGGGAGGGGGAGAAGGAGGAAGAGAGGGGAGGGGGGGAGAAGGAGGAAGAGAGGGGAGGGGGAGAAGGAGGAAGAGAGGGGAGGGGGAGAAGGAGGAAGAGAGGGGAGGGGGAGAAGGAGGAAGAGAGGGGGAGGGGGAGAAGGAGGAAGAGAGGGGAGGGGGGGGAGAAGGAGGAAGAGAGGGGAGGGGAGAAGGAGGAAGAGAGGGGAGGGGAGAAGGAGGAGGGGAGAGGGGGGGGAGAAGGAGGAAGAGAAGAGAGGGGGGGGAGAAGAGAGAAGGAGGAAGAGAGGGGAGGGGGAGAAGGAGGAAGAGAGGGGAGGGGGAGAAGGAGGAAGAGAGGGGAGGGGAGAAGGAGGAGAGAGGGGAGGGGGAGGAGAAGGAGGAAGAGAGGGGAGGGGGAGAAGGAGGAAGAGAGGGGGAGGGGGAGAGAAGAAGGAGGAAGAGAGGGGAGGGGGAGAAGGAGGAAGAGAGGAGGGGGGGAGAAGGAGGAAGAGAGGGGAGGGGGAAGGGAGAAGGAGGAAGAGAGGGGAGGGGGAGAAGAAGGAGGAAGAGAGGAGGGAGAGGGGAGGGGGAAGGAGGAAGAGAGGGGAGGGGGAGAAGGAGGAAGAGAGGGGAGGGGGAGAAGGAGGAAGAGAGGGGAGGGGAGAAGGAGGAAGAGAGGGGAGGGGGAGAGAAGGAGGAAGAGAGGGGAGGGGGAGAAGGAGGAAGAGAGGGGAGGGGGGAGAAGGAGGAAGAGATGGGAGGGGGAGAAGGAGGAAGAGAGAGGAGGGGGGAGAAGGAGGAAGAGAGGGGAGGGGGAGAAGGAAAGAGAGGGGAGGGGGAGAAGGGAAGAGGGGCTGGGGGAAGGGGAATGAAAGAGTAGAACGCGTACCTGTTGCGCGGTAGTCGGCCGTAGGGTATGCTGCGACGAACGTTGGGGGAGAAGAAATAGTACCACATGACTGGCGGGATGGGAGGGAGGGGGGGTGGGGTGGGGTAGGGAGGAGGGGGAGAAAGGGAGCATGAGATGGAGGATTAACGCTGTGACGGTTACCTTGAAGGGAGATTCCGAATAACGCTGTGACGGTTACTTAGCAGGACACCGGACATGGTCGGCAGAGAACAGCTTGCGACTCAGAAGTTACCTGGTTACCGTAAAGGGAGTTTCGCATGACGCTGTGAGGGTTACCTTGGAGGAAGCCGGGCATGAGCAGGAGCGAATAGGTCATGAGGAGAAAGAACTTGGACATCCAGTTGAGCCCGAGCCTGCGGGGAAATGGGAGAGACGCGCGGAAGAGCGGGAAAAGCGGGTTTAAAGCGGGTATGACTAGAGACTCTGCTTCGTCTGGAGACGTCTGGCGAAAAGAAGAGGCTTGCGAAATGTCCCGAAGAATTGATGCGAAATAAAAGGCAGGGAGTTTCAAATGTGAACCTATTCGGTAAGCCCAAGCGACGCGATTCCAGTAGCGCACCCGAGGAACTGTAGCAGTTGCACTGTGAGGCTGGTCAGCTGAAAAGTTTCCGCGGCTGCTCGTCGAACGCTCCGGCCTATGATGATAGCGGCCCGCGTGGAGCAACGAGGCGCGGCGTCGCTCGACGGCGAGCGGTCAATCGTGGAGATACTGCGTCTGCGCGGCAGACAGCACGCCGCGGCCGCCGCGGCCGTGACTGCTGACGACGTGCAGACGGAGGTGCTGACGGACGTCGGCCCATCCGGAGCGCCTAGTAGTCTCTCGATAGGGTGCGACTCGAACATCGGCCGCGCGAGCTTCGCGCACGCGCCGCGAGGTAAGGCCGCGAGCGAGGAAGGAAACGACGCGAGGGACCTTGAAAGACGGGCTAATGGCGATGACGATGCGGAGGCAGGTGACTGCGACGCGAGAATTGGTTGTGAGATGTTGAAGAATAGGTTGGTCTGCTTCAATCGCCGTTCTGAGCAGCAGTGGCTCGCACAAGTAGCAATGTATTTACAAGTGGCTCGCACTAGCCGTTGAGTGTGCAACGTCGCTACGTTCAACCTATTTCCGGGAACCGCGTGAGCTGACATCCACAGCTAATGGCGCCTGCAATGCTGTGCGACTAAATATCATAGGGTAGCTGGTCTCTAGCTACAAAAAGACCAGAGATGTCGGATAAGATCGATAAAATGTGAGGGAGCGAGAGGCGATAAGAGTACAGGGAAGCTGGAGGCGCTTCCTGCGGCCAGGGGAAGACCTTGGCTTGGGAATACCTCGGGGTGCTCAGCATGTGTAGCAGCGGGTGAGCGAGGAGGGAGGAAGGTATGGGTAATGTGTGGTGTCGAATATCCACCAGTTAGCTGGGTGTGGTGAGGTGAAGTAGGTTGAAATTGGATACAGGTGGGTGGAGTACGGTTAAAGATGTTCACACCACATGTAACGTTCAGGGATGGGGCACTGACAACGAACTGCGCGTGCGTGTACGCAGTTGGAGTTGACGGGAAGGGAATATCGTGACTGCGCCCGGGTGCGGCGCACGTAAGTGCGCAGAGAGGGATGTATGCGCGCTTATCGAATGAATGGAAGAGAGTCCGGCGGAGATTTTAGGGGTGCGGAGCGGGCAGGGAGTGTGTGCGGAAGTCCTCTAGGGCTAGAGCGGAAACAGAAAAGTCGTCCAGGGGAAGTCCTGCCGGAACGGGAGGCTTTGCGGGGCGTGGTGACACCATGGAAGCTCACGCGCTTCGGTGCTGCGCTGCAGGTACCAGCGTGGATAATTCCGATTGGCGAACGAGATTAAAGAGGTTACCAGACTAGTCTCAGCCTTTGCTGGACGACCTGCAAAGTCCTACATTCATTCGCTGAAGCATTCTGACCGAACGCTGCGACGCCTTCGTGCGACCTCGGGATGGCGAGGGCGGTGTGGCCTACACCATAGCGCGGTGCGAGGTGGCTCATTTCGAGGGATGGATCATCTTGGGCGCAAGCCACGTGGATAGTTCGTTACAGCGTGATTCGCAGACTCACTTTTTGTAGTTCCACATTCTATTTGTACTCTACACGCTGAAAGCTACAATTTCCATGACAATTTCACTCTTCGGTTAGAAAACCCTCCTTGAACCCTTGCCTTGCGGAAGTACAGATACGTCGACAGCGTTGTTATCTAGCAAATGCTCTGCTGGTTTTCGTTCCTCCGAGTTCACTTCAGCCCTGGCCACTGCCGCTGTCTCGCTCAGCTTGTTCTCTTCTTTCACCTTCTCACCTCTTGCTTTTCAAACTTTTCCTCCCAGCTTCAGCTCTCTCCCATTCTCCCACCTCCTGCTACTGCATTCAGTCTTGTTCTTTCAGTTCTTTTCTTTCGCCTTTCGTTCTGGATTGGTCGTTTGAAACAAGGGGTACGATGCCGCAAAAAGACACAGAGAAGACGCATCTATACTTTCAGATGTCGGCAGTGCCCAATATTTACCCGTTTCCACATCTTTCTACCCTTTCTCTTGGTGCCGCCTTCGATGCGCTATCTTGTGAACTGGCGAGTAACTCGCTCAAGATCTCCCATATGATTAAAACTTTTCCTCGACGCGGTTGCTTATGCATCCATCGTGGGAGTTCTTTGCAGAAATTTGGGATGAAGGGAGATCGCGGCCTTTCTTTTGTCACGTCATGGGCTTACTTTGGTGTGATGTTTCGTATCCGCTCATTGTCACGGTTCCTTATGTCTTAAAAGCTGGATCGTTCCGGGCATTGTATTCAAATCCACGGCGCACCATCAAAATCCGCGCATTGTCACGCGTGGTCATACTCTATGCGATAGATCGTCCCAAACATGACACATTATTCCATGGCACATCATCACAACATTGTTCATCTAGAAACCGCGCTTTTTCACACTTCACCTGCGCATTGCAATACCAGCACTGTTGTGGACATATCAAGCTTGGGAGCACAGAAGCCACAATTTACCGCAAACAAGGCCTAACACGTTCTACTAACAGTGTCAACTGTCAAACCGGTTTCTAGAGGAAAACAGCAAACCATTTCTCCACATGCACTCAACAAGCCCACTAGCTTCAAGGAAAATTTATGAGGAAGTTGAAATTCTAGGGTTCACGTTGAGGTGCGCTGCTGCAGGCAATAGACGGAAAGCAAACAGGATTGACTTGGCCATCCCTGTCAATTTAGGCACCTCACCAAACAAATGCTCTAGGGATCTATCCGAATTTGATCCACTTGAACACAAGAGCCTGGTTACAACAAACCAAGTCAGAGCACCATCCATGCAAGAAAGGCACTGTTGCCCCACCGCATCACAGCCACCAGCCCAACAAACGCCATGAGCCCTTGAATCATGCTCATCGGTTTAAGCTTCCAGGTCTTGCCATGCTTCCCTCGTGCTGCCGCTGCTACAGCAGTACTAGGCTCACTTTGGAAGGTGATTTTTCCTGAATGGTGCAGCCACACAGCAAGCATCGCATACACCCCCACCACTAGCAGACGAACCACAAGGCTCTCTGCTGCTCCGGCAATCGCCGCCACTGCTGGCGCCACAATAGACAGCCAGTTAGGTCCGGCCAAAGATTGAGACTTGGTAGTGGCAGAGGGCAAGGAGGAAGAGGAGGAAGAGTTGGAGGAAGGGAGGGTGGATGAAGAAGCAGATGCAGATGCAGCAGCTGCTGCTGACGATGAAAGAACAGCACGAACGGCAGAAGACCCAGTGAGGATGGTCAGGATAAGCAGGAAAACCAATGGCGGAATGACACCTGTCGCGAGTCCAACAGCTGCTGACCCAGCGAGCCACAGTGGACCATTTAGCCTCTCCGGGTCAGAATCAAATCGCTGTGCTACAGTAACCACTGCGGTAACCAGAAGGGAGTTCAGGATAACTGGCCCGACTGGCATAACGTCAAATTGAGCGAGTATGGCATAATAGAGGAACTCGGCACCAGATGCGATGATAGAGAGGAGGATGGAGAGGGGAGTAAGGATGGGGTCTGGGAGGAGGAGGAGGAGGGAGTGTGCGAGGAAGACAAGGAAGACGGCGGTGGAGCCGCAGGCAGCGGTGAAGAGAGAGAGGATGAGAAGGGAGGAGCGGATGAGCTCGGAGAGTAGCCAGCGACGGTTGAGGAAGAGGAGGAGCGCCACTGAAGAGGAAAAGGAAGGGGGAAGAAATGAAAGAAACAAAAAGGGAAGGGGAAAGTTGGAGCCGGGGAATAAAAAAAGGAGGGTACTAGCTCGGTTAGCAGCCAGCGGCGGTTGAGGAAGAGAACGAGCGCCACTGAGCACACAGGGGTGAAAGGAAGTAGGTGAAACGAGGGAAAGGGGAGGGGGTAGTGTGAGGAGTGCAAGAGGGAGGGAGAGTGTGTGAGAATGAGACGTGCCATTGCAGGGAATCGGGTGATGCGATGTTTTTAGGCTCGAGGGATTGTGATGAAAGCGCGGAGGGTGAGTGTGAGCGTGTGTGGGAAAGGGGGGGTATACCCGAAACCCAGTGGATATTATATTTTGTCAGGGTCCCTACCTGCAGCTATTGCCAGCACTCTGTTTCTTGTGGGACGAAACTCCTTCTGCCCCGGAACAAATTCCATCTGCCCGGGACGGTGCCGACTGGCCCTAGAAGTCGCCGCTGCTGCATCCGCATCCCCGCTATAGACTGTTCCCACTGATTTTGCAGCTGACGCAGGTGAGACCTTTCCGGCATCCTCGGGGGAGCTGTTGCTATAAGAGCCGCTTCCGCCGTCGGATGCGGCGGATGCAGCGGAAACGCCGAGTCGCCATTTCGAGCAGAGCGAAGGACGAGAGGAGAGTCGTTCTGGCGGATCGACGAACGAGGCCGGGGGATGGGGTGAAGAAAGAGGAAATGCGATCATAAATGGCAGAGGCGCCGCGGAGTGAAAATCGAAAATCGGCCTGAGCGCTGAACACGCGGGGAGCTGGAGAAATCAGGGGCTTGGTTGGCTCAAATGCAACGGTCATACTAGCATGCGAACGGAGGAAGAAGCAAAACGGGTACAATCGCAGCTTTCTCCGTCTCAATCCGCCAGAGCACTTCACCAGATTTCTCACCCGCAATTCGCGGGGTCACAGTTGGCAGTACCCGTCTTCGCAGTCCTAGGAACGAGGAGGGTGAGCAGACGGCGCGACTCGTCGATACAACCTGCGAACGAAGGCTGACGGAGCAGCCTGTACGGGCCGATGAAGCTGACCCGACTAGGGTGTCGCTGAGCTGAGCTGTCAGACCCGCCATGATTGGCGGAGATGGCGGGGATTGCACCAGGATAATGTGCGTGATGGCTTTTGAGGTCGGATGTGGTTGTGGGGCGGGGATACGGGGCTTCGCTCAGCAGAAGGGGTTTCGTTATAGCGGAAAATTTTGCGTCAGTGTACCAATCTTGTTTCTTACAATCAGAGTTTGACTTTTGAGCCCAAACTCCTCTTGGTTGGACAGGGGGAAATCTCAAATTGACATCGGATTTGTATCCCCTGTATGAACTTTCAAAACCCGTTCAAATATTTTGACCCCACAACATGAAGATTTTGAGAGCAACTTTTCTTATTTCCGACTCTTTACAAAGATATCTACAGCACAAAATGCAGGATGGTCACCAGGGACTTCGTCCCCTAGCCACACCAGCATCACACAAGATCCACACTCCATGAACGCAGCTCCTGGACAAGCCTTTTTAGGCGGCCAGTCCACGGAAAATCCTGGTGCACCCTGAGGAAAGAACTCAGCAGAACGACAGAACAAGCGAAATAGCGCTTTGTCCACCATCTGCACCCTCAGAAGATGATGGCAGAAGCAAGCGAAGCTGGAACTTGGAACAAGAGTGAAGCAGCACGGAGCAACGTGTAAGACTGTTGGTGACGAGCTGTGAAGATGGTGAATCCCCCATTGCAGCAGAAGCAGAAACTTGAAAAAAAACTTCATTGTTGATGAAGTAGAGGGCGCAGGCAGCACATGTACAGCATGTACAATAGGGCTTTCAGCCCAGTATTCACTGCCATAAAAACCGCTCCAATGTTTATTCCAGATCTCGAGGTTCCAATGTCACTTCATGTTGTCCGCCTCGCCAGCTGCAAAACCATCTCCAGATGTGACGTTGCTCTAGCGGTACTGCGACTTCGACTTGGGATTGTACAGCCTGAAAGTGAAGCAACGCGGATGGCATCAGAAATTTAACAATCACTTAGCAAAGCTAACAACAATGCCAGAAAGGGCATTGTAAGAAAAAAAGTAAATGACACGGAAAATTAGAACGCAGAAACAGGGAGCCCGTAAGACATTACATTGCGTCAGGGCTCTGGGCGCTCAGATCGTGAGCGGATTATACCAGTCGAACACGGACGGCTCCGACGAGCTAGCCTTGTCGAATCTGGTTGCACCAACGCGGTCCATCCCAGCCTTGTTGCTTCCGGGGTGAAACACACTGCGCCAGACGTTCTCTCCCTTGCGGGACGCTGTAAGAATAAGATCCAATTATGACAAAGATATCAATATGACGCGTCAGTGAACTGCGATTAAGGAAAACAGTGCGAGACAAATCATGATATAAAGTAGTAACCAAGAGAAATTCCAGCTGGTGTGGATGTGAATCATACCAGGAGAAGGCAGATTGGATAGTCCAGTGTCGTAATGAGCTGGCAGAGAGCGAGACGTGTCGAGCCGGCGAGCCGTCTTTGGCTGCTGTGGAGCAATGGAAATGCTCTTGGTAATTCTCGGCATCACTGTCCGACCGTCAGACGCCATATCTGCGCTCTTACGACGCTCGTCGAGATTCAGCGACGAAATTCCTGCATCCGATGCGGAATGCAAGAGTAGACGAGTTTAGCAAAATTGACAGACAACTCAGCACAAATCCGACGGCGTTTTAGCGAAAGCGGAGTAGCACGTCCTCCATTGGCAATTTTAGCGTGCGTACCATGATATGAGCCTTCATTCGAAGGGGAAAGCGGACTTCCCCCGCTGTCGTAACGTTCCAGCGAGCTTCTCGGAGAAGTCGAGATGCTCTTCTCCATGGCTGAAGGGAGCTGCGGGGAGCTCCCCATGACTTCACTCCAGACCTTCTCGATGAAACTCATTCTTGCGGAAGCGAAGACGAAGCTTGATTGAAGAAGATTCCGTGAAGAACAAACCCTCGCAACACGGAAGTGGCCGCACGAGAGGGGATCTCCTCGACCGTTGAGTAGGAAAGGAAGTTGGGGAGTTCAAGCACACGGCGAGCTGCAACCCAAATTCTTTCACTTCGGACTCGGTCTCTGAGAATGCTTACCTCCATACCACCAACGTTCTTATAGTAAATCGGTATGAGCGACATAACGGAAAAGACGGGAGAGTTGCGTTGCGAGGGAGGTCCGCTGTGGGGTTGTCCATCAGTTGTGCTGGAAGGGGACATGCAAGGGGGATTGGGGAACGCGGAGGGGGAAAGCTTCTGGAATTTGCGCGGAGGGTCCATGGGGATTCGTCATGATGGTATTAACCCATTTGAGAAACGGATTCAGTGGTTCTTCCTACGGGTGTTTCAAGTTGGCGCCAATATTCTGTAGTCGTTTTAGACAAGAGTTTTGCCGTAATACATTATAACCTGCCCTGTCAAAAGCCTTTCCGGGCAACAGACATGGTGGTGCTTGGAAAAGCTGCTGGACGGAAAGTAGGGGTTTTCCCCCCTCAACTCGACAGCCGTTATGTCTTGAGATTTTGGGGTGCGACAAACACAAGGGAGGAAGGGGCATCCCTATCCATGCGCGGAAACCGACAACCTCGAGAGGGTCAACATTTTGTTCGCGCATGCGTGGCGGGCCTAGCTTTACACATGCAGAATGTGGTGGCGAAGCAAGATGTAAACAAGGCTGTGACAGGCAAGGCGTCCATCAAACCTTAGAGGTCGAAAACTCGAGATGTCCACGGGGACGTCAATTATTGGTGCATCTTGCAACAGACCCAGATGCAAGGAGAAAGCGTGCGTGCACAATGAGCTGGACTTATCCAATCAGCATGACTTTCGGAAATCGCTGACGCTGGAAATCAGCCAATGCGTCACTTCCCATGTGAGCTGACCTGGATCTAGGTTTCGCGGGAGACTGCGTAGGACTTTCAGCGGAATTTGACACAATCTGGTTGGCAACTCACGTGTTACACGTGAGGGCTCGGTAACCCTATCCAAAGTGAAAAGAACTCGAAGCTCTCAAAATCTCTTCATACAGAAACTCAAGTTACGGGAAGAATTCTGTTAAGTATAATAGTAGTTAAATCTGGTCGGAAGGTAATAAGGTAGACTCTAAGAACTCCCTTGAACATCAGGCCACCAAGCAATATACCGGCACCTCGTTGATGATTAACGCCTCACGCTACCGCTACTTTGTCTCATCTCCGATACAATTAGACAAAATTAATCAATATTGTCATGTGACAACCTTACACAAGTGTACACATCAGTTCTGGATTGTCAAAATCCTGGGCAATGAGTTGGCACATGCTGGTGTCTTCTTCAGCTAAGCACAACATATCAAACGACACATCTGCAACAGAAGGATCCAAGCACTTTCCCACATACATCGATTCATCATGCAGGGATGACTTGGCCACAGAGCAATTCATACTACGGTACTCATGCTGCCACCACTGCTAGTACCACTGTTACATCGAATACTTCGATCACACGTCAAAGAATTGGTGAAATTGTTACCAGTAACACCCAACAGACCATTATGGTAAGTGCCAATTTTCCACATGGCTGCTGTTACTGTGGGTGCAGCCCCTGCTGCTGCAGCTCTTGCTGCTGCCCACACCATCCACAATGCAAACTGCTGCTTCGATCGTCACGGTTTGCCGAAGCTGCTGCTGTGGCCGATCGCGCAGCAAATACTGCTCGGAGTGAAACATTTGCTGTAGATGACAATCCCTGAGTTCCACACTCGACGTGGCGACTTCACCACATACTGACATGTCAGCACCATTGGGTGCTGATATGGCAGCATTATTTGGTGGACCCATCCAAGCCCCACCATCACGCTAGAAGGATTAGCTGCATAGGCTGCTTCGCTGTAGCCGTGTGAAGGTAGATCTGAAATGAATGCAGTAACAGCATGTGTTCGGGTGGTAACCGCGGGGATGTGCGCAGCTGTTGCAGCAATGGCATTGGTGTTTACATCCGTGAGACCCGTGGTTACATCAGTGACGCCAGCAGTGAAATCAGTGGTAAGAGAAAGTACACCAGAAGCACCTGTTGTCCCTTGGCCTTCAAGCTTCTCAGTGCACAGAAGAGACGACTGCATAGGGTGCTGCTGCTGCTGTTGCCATTGCCACTGCCCCTACTGTTGTTGCTGCTGCTGTTGATGCTGCTGCTGCTGCTGCAGGAATTGCTGCTGAACCTGCAGTTGCGGATGCTGGTGTTGCTCCGGCTCCTGCAACCGACAATGACCTTTCTGGCTCTGCCGCAGAGGCTGCTGCAGAGGCTGCTGCGGAGGCTGCTGCAGAGGCTGATGCAGCCGCCGCTGCTGCTGCTTCAACCACGCTTCCTCGTTCTGCTCCGAAGCAGGCACGGCGGCGAATGTGCTTGTGGCGGCGGCACAAGCTTGATACACCTGCTGCATCTGCTGCTCGTGAGGATGCTGCTGCTCGTGAATACCCTGCTGCACGTGAGGACGCTGCTGCTCCAGAAGAACCATGCTGGAGACTGCCTTGGCATTAACTCGACGCTCGGACCGAAGCTACTGTGGGATCTGCTGCAGCGGCACTCGCTGTTGCTCCACAGACATCATGCTGGTGACTGCCTTGGCGTTCACTCGAGGCTCGGACCGAAGCTGCTGTGGGGTCTGCTGCAGTTGCACTCGAGACATCGTGCTGGTGACTTCCTTGGCGATTTGCTGTGCCTCGAATCGAATCTGCTGCATGTGCTGCACATGAGGGCCGCCCTGCTGTTCCAAAGCAACCACGTTAACAAGTCCAGTTGGATTCTGCCACGCATCCAACTTTTGAGACTTCTCAAAAGTCACCTGAGGGCCGCCCTGCTGTTCCAGACCAACCGCGTCAGCAAGTGCAGCTGCTGCTGCAGGGACGGCAACAGGTGCAGGGAGGAGAAGCGGTTGGAAGCTTTTGAATTTAAGAAATTGTGGTGGAGCGACGCTGCTGGTGGACGCCTCAAAAGTTGACGGATCAGCAGTTGGATGGACATCCCAAAAATATTTTCGAGGGGGTTGGGGTAGCAAGGCATGAAGTAGGGACTCCCAAACATTGGCCATAGTGTGTGTGATGTATGTGCGCTGCAGCTACATTCTATTCGATCCACCTCGTACGAACCATGCTTGCCGAGCCTACCCAGATGTAGACTCGGTAGCTTGTACAGCCTCAATAGTGGCTACTGGGTGTATACTTTGACGAGGGGGCGAAGCCAGGATGTTCGAGCGTACATTGCTGAAGGGTTTCTAAACCTACATACGAACCACCAAGCATGTACTTCGGCTTGGCTTTGTCAGAAAAAGTTGGATTCGTGACCGTCGATCAGACACTCACTGAACGGTATCGATCAGAATACCGAACTTGATTGTTGAAAACCGTCGATCTTCATTTCATTGGATAGTCGAGATTTGGGCCGTCTCACCCTCTACTCCTCCTGCAAACCAAGCGAGAGTTCAATGGGTTGGAAAATCAACCGTCGATCTTATTAAATGTTGGATGGCTACGATCAGGCGAAGCTACACATCACTTTTTGCCACGTTGGGCAAGAAAGGTCTCGTGATTGATTTTACTGCTTTGAGTGATTGGTTAGCAACTGATAGCCGTCGATTTTCAGTGCAATCAAAGGCCACGATGGACTTGATGAAACGAGCTGGCAGAAGGTACTGAACCCTAGTTTCCGATTGGTTCAAACCCAGATTTCGGCTGAGGCACACACACATAACTGACTACTACCTGCAACACCCAACCTTCATTTCCTCACTTCTTAGCTTCAAGGCTGCTCTCGTTCCCTGCTCTCATTTCTTAGTTCCCTGCTCTCATTTCTTAGTTCCCTGCTCTCATTTCTTAGTTCCCTGCTCTCATTTCTTAGTTCCCTGCTCTCTGGGGAAACCTGCGAGACCACGCTCCTGCTCTTCGTTCACCTTGAAATCATGAGCGCTACTTGTTAAATTTTCGTCCTTTGCTTCTCCTGTTTGTCATGGCAGAAGGCGATATGGGCGCGATTTGCCCGTGGCGATATGTGCGTGGCGATCTAACGTGGCGATATGGGCGTGTCGATGTAGGCGTGGTGATTTGGCGTCGCGATATGTGCGTGACGATTCTGGCGTCGCGATATGGGCGTGTCGATTTGGCCTTGACGATAATGGCCTGGCGATTTGGGCGTGGCAATATGAGCGATGGCTGCTGGCTGCGGTAGGCGAATAGCTTTACGTTGGCTATATGTGAGTTTCCAACTGGGGTTGTGCTTATTCATTATGTAGTGTCTGTTTTCTGTTCAGCTAACCTGAACTTCTGGGACCAGGCCTGGTCCCGCAACACTAACGGTACTTCTACTACTTGTATCGACGTTGCAGGATTATGGTGCGAGATGTGTTATTATCTTTTTTTATAAGCAGTTTCGTTCAGTATTTTTAGGGAAGTGGTGGCTGAACCCTGGTAAGTGCTTTTCGCCCTGTTAATTGTCGATTTCCGACTCTTGTTTTGTTTGTGTTTATTGCTTCTTGCTCTAATGTTCAGTCACTTCTGAAGACCATTTTTTCTAAGGGATTAGGAAGTCTGTATTAGTATAATGTGTAATTGTAACGTTCTATACAAATATTGGATTTCACTGGAAGCACAATCACGCTTCTGTTACTTTTGTAACCTTGATAACAGTCACCAAATGGGATACTATTCAACAATGTAATAGTGTAACATTGTAACTGTGTCTGTAATAGATACATGAATGGTGCTGGTTTTTGTGAGCCCTTAAAGCCCCTCTGTACATACCATGTGTGTAGTCAGGAGCTACATTTCAGATATAACAATGTACAGGTGTAGTCCCGAGCTTGTCGTATCCTATAACAGGGCACTGTACTATGGACTATACATGTAGCATGTCCCAACTCTCGCGAAGGGAAGTGGGAGCAGAGCACATCCAATCTAGCGACAGTATCGGGAGTGAGGGAGGCTGCTGCTTCACTGTAGCCGTGTGCAGGTGGCTCTGGCATGCATGGGATGGCAGCAAGTGTGCATGTGGTAACCGCGGGGATGTGCGCAGCTGATCCAGCAATGCCACTGGTAGTCACATCAGTGAGACCTGTAGTAACAAACGTGACGCCAGTGGTGCCATCTGTGACGCCAGCAGTGAAATCCATGGTAGGAATAAGTACACTAGGAGGAGCACATGCCGTCAAAGGAGAACCCCATGTACAGAGATACAGCACCACCTTGCATCTGCTTCAATAACAGCCCCTTGTGCTGCTCTGGAGCTGGCACTGTGCTTGTGGTGGCAGCATCTGCTGCTTGGAGCTGCTCCTGCTGCGTTGGCTGCTGAGAGTGCGGCTGCTCTTCCAGTCCATACAGAAAGATCCCCATGTGCGGAGGTACAACACCACCTTGCATATGCTTCAATCGTGGATGCTTGTGCTGCTCTGGAGCAGGCACGATGGCGAATGTGCTTGTGGCGGCACAAGCTGGAGGCGCCTGAAAGCTCACCTGTTGCATCTGCTGCACGTGATGACCCTGCTGCACGTGACGACCCTGCTGCACGTGACGACCCTGCTGCACGTGATCACCCTGCTGCACGTGATCACCCTGCTGCACGTGACCACCCTGCTGCACGTGACCACCCTGCTGCACGTGACGACCCTGCTGCACGTGACGACCCTGCTGCACGTGACGACCCTGCTGCACGTGACGACCCTGCTGCACGTGACGACCCTGCTGCACGTGACGACCCTGCTGCACGTGACGACCCTGCTGCACGTGACGACCCTGCTGCACGTGACGACCCTGCTGCACGTGACGACCCTGCTGCACGTGACGACCCTGCTGCACGTGACGACCCTGCTGCACGTGACGACCCTGCTGCACGTGACGACCCTGCTGCACGTGACGACCCTGCTGCACGTGACGACCCTGCTGCACCTGATCACCCTGCTGCACGTCATCACCCTGCTGCACGTCATCACCCTGCTGCACGTGACGACCCTGCTGCACGTGACGACCCTGCTGCACGTGACGACCCTGCTGCACGTGACGACCCTGCTGCACGTGACGACCCTGCTGCACGTGACGACCCTGCTGCACGTGATAACCCTGCTGCCCCAAAGAAATCATCCTGTCAAGTGAGTTGGAGTTAACTCGAGGCTCGCATTTCAGCTGTTGTGGCGCCTGCGGTATCTGCACTGACTGCTGCTCCCTAGAAAACATGTTGGTGACTGCGTTGGCAGCGCCGCGCCATGCATCAAACCGAAGCTGCTGCACCTGTTGAGCATAAGCGCCGCCCTGCTACTCCAGTGCGTGCTGAACATCGATGTTATGCTGTTGTGTCTGCTGCCCTTGCACTCCTTCCTGCTGACCCAAAGCACTTGCGTATTTGACTGCGTTGGTGGCAACAGGCGTTAGAGGTGACTCAAGGGCCGGTTGCCTTGCATCCAACATCTGCCCCATCTGCCCCATCTGCCGCCAACGTGAGTGTATACAAACACCTTGGTTGAGAAGCAGTAAACTGCAGTAGTTTCCTTGGGTTGGGATGGTGTGCAGCCTACATAGTGTAGGTCACATCTGCCCCATCTGCCCCATCTGCCCCATCTGCCCCTAACGTTCAGTAATACTCAGATATGCTAAACATTAGGAGACGCGAATTCAAATCACCATTTTGGATGACATTTGTGAACAGCTTTTGATTTGTCTTGGCATAACTAATATTTTAACCTTGCTCAGTGTGTAGTTCGGAGGCATCAGCCCTAAACAAATGCAGGGTTTCCATGTGCAGAGACCTCCAATCCAATATATCGACCTGGAAGTTTTTCCTTGTTTTTGTTTCATACTTTTTATATATCCTTCCTTCCACCTCCAGTGATGGGACCAAATCGAGTTTTTTTGGGCCACCATTTCAGGCTAGCGAGCCTACTGCAGCAGGTCCTTGTGCGGTCTCTAGGCACAAAGAACAGAGCCGCACATTGCCACTACTTAATCTCATCTCCTACACAATCACGCAGTATAGTATCAACATCGTCGCAACCGCAACCTTGCACGAGTAGTGTGCACATCAGTTTTGAATCGTCAATAGCCGGGACAATGACCTGGCACATGCTGATGTCTTGCTGAGTCAAGTACAGCTCATACAGCGACACATCAGCAACGGAAGCTTCCAACCGTTCGCCCACATCAGTCTCATCATGCGGTGATGATCCCGCCATAGGGCAACCCTGACTGCTCATGCTGCCACCACTGCTCGAAGTGCTGTTACGTCGAACGATCCGATCCTACGTCAAAGCGTTGGCAAAGTCGTTAGAAGTAGCAACGAAGAGTCCAGCACCGGTGCAAGGTTCCAAGGCATTGCTGGTGCTGCTGTGGCTGCAGCTCCAGCTGCTGCTATTCTTGCAGAGTCTACTCCCTTCACCATCCACCCTGTAAACTGCTGCTTCCGCCGGAACAGCTTGCTGAAGGAGCTCCTGCTGTGGCTGATAGCGCTGCAAATGCTGCTGGGAGTGGGACGTGTGTTGAAGACGACAATCCCTGTGTTTTGTGGCCATCATGTGCTTCCACGATGCTGTCTGCTGGTGAAAGGCAGTGTTTTCACACCCTGACGTGGCGGCTCCTCCACGTGCTGCCACGTCATCACTTTTGACTGCTGACGTGGCAACTGGATTACGTGGCGATCCCATCCAAAACCTGCCTTGGAAAGCTGGTTCACGTGTGGCAGGCTGGAGGTTACTGGAACCAGCACAAGGGGCGCACTCTGAAGCAAGAATGGTATACTCAGGGCCAGGAAAGACATCAGCTTCAGCTGTTGTACCACCAGAATCAGCAGCAGGAGCAGCAGAAACTGAGTGAGGACACACTGTCACGCCAGAGAGATTTTCTGTACAGGCTGCTTCACTGTAGCCACAAGGAGGAGGATCTGAAATGCATGCAGTAGCTGCAGGTGTGCCTGTGGTAACTGTAGGGATGTGAGGAACTGTTGCAGTGATATGATGAGTTGTTATATCCGTGACACCAGCAGTGACATCAGTGGCACCAGTGGTGATATCAGCAGTGCCAGTGGTGACATCAGCAATGCCAGTGGTGACGTCAGTAATGCCAGTGGTGACGTAAGTAATGCCAGTGGTGACATCAGCAAAGCCAGTGGTGACATCAGCAACGCCAGTGGTGACATCAGCAATGCCAGTGGTAACATCAGCAATGCCAAAGTTGACATCAGTGAAACGAAAAAGCACACCAGGAGCACATGCTGAGTATTGGCCTTCAAGCTTCTCAACGCACAGAAGAGAAGACGGTATACACTGCTGTCGCTGCTGCTGCAGTTGTTGTTGCCACTGCTCATGTTGTTGCGGTTGCTGCTGCTGCTGATGATGATGCTGGTCTTGCTGCTGAACATCCAGTTGTGCATCCTCATGTTGTTCCTGCTCCTGCAACCGACAATGCCGTTTCTGTCTCTGCTGCCAGGGCGGCTGCTGTGCAGGCTGCTGCACTGGATGCTGAGAGTGCTGCTGTTTCAGCTGCTGCAATGGCTGCAGCTTCACCGGCTGCTGAGACTGCTGCATCATCTGCTGCTGCAGCCGCTGCTGCTCTCCTAGTCGGTGCGAGAAGAACCCCATGTGTGAGCGGAAAGAAGGGACCTTTCCCATGTCTTCCAGTAACGCACCTTGCTCCTGCTTCATGCGAAAACCCTGCTGCTCATAGTGCTGCAACGGTTGCTGCAGGCGTTGCTGCGATGGTTGCTGCAGGCGTTGCTGCGACGGTTGCTGTAGGTACTGCTGCTCTTCAGGTGGGTCCAAAGAGAACCCCATGTCCTCAACTGCAGCACCTTGCATCTGCTTCACCAGACGGCCCTGCTGCTGCACTGCCTGTTGCTGTGGCTGCTGGTGCATCGGTTGCTGCAGGCGCTGCTGCCCTTCGAGTCCGTGCATAAGGAACCCCATGTCTTGCAATTGTGGTCCCTGCACGAAAGCAGGCACGGTGGCAAATGTGCTTGTGCCGGCATACACTTGAGTTGCCACAAAGCTGAGCTCTTGTGCCTGCTGCTCTTGCATCTGCTGCTCTTGCGTCTGCTGCATGGGAGGACCCTGCTGCTCTTCCAGAAGAACCGTGCTGGGAAAAGCGCTTGTCCTAACTCGAGGCTCGAATCCGAGCTGTGGAACCTGAGAGCCGCCCTGCTGTGGCACCTGAGAGCCGCTCTGCTGTTGCACCTGAGAGCCGCCCTGCTGTTGCACCTGAGAGCCGCCCTGCTGTAGCACCTGAGAGCTGCCCTGCTGTAGCACCTGAGAGCCGCCCTGCTGTTGCAGCCCACCCACATCAGTGACTGCGCTCGGGTTCTGCCACACATTCGACCTAAGCTGTTGTACCCGCTGCCCTTGCACCCCCCCTTGCGGATCCAAAGCCCTCGTTTGGGATTCTTCTTTGCTCGGGTTCTGCCACACATTTGACCCAAGCTGTTGTACCCGCTGCACTTGCACCCCCCCTTGCGGGTCCAAAGCCCTCACGGATTCTTCTTCACTTGGGTTCTGCCACGCGTCGAACCGAAGCTGTAGCATGTGCTGCACTTGAGCTCCCCCCAGCTGATGAACAGCACGCTCAAATTCGATTGCATTGGTGACAGGTGGACTGTGAGATGGCTCAAAAGTCGGCTCTCGCCCCTCCTGCCCCATCTGCCCCATCTGCCCCATCTGCCCCATCTGCCCCATCTGCCCCATCTGCCGCCCCATCTGCCCCATCTGCCCCATCTGCCCCATCTGCCCCATCTTCCCCATCTGCCCCATCTGCCCCTCCTGTCCCATCCGCACATCCTGACCCATCTGTCTCATCTGCCCCATCTGTCTCATCTGCCCCATCTGCAACATCTGCTGTCTCTGATTACCCGCAGCAAACTCGTTTGGAAATGTCATTCCCCCAGCAACCGAAAACGGCACTGGAATAGCACGTGCAGGTGGCGTGCTGATGCCAGCACCAACAGCAGCAGCCGCACCAGCAGCAGAATCTGCTGCAGCGTCAGCAGAAGCAGCAGCAGGTGCATGGTTACCAACAAGAGAGGTTAGACACGTGCAGTGAGGGTGTTTTTGAGACGTCTCAAAAACACCCTCACTGCAAGCAGAAGCAGCAGCAGGTGCATGGTTACCAACAAGAGAGGTTAGATTAGGCAGCGCAACATTCCAGCCGGTTGCTTTCAGTGACGCCAGCGTCGAGTACATGGTACCAGTGACTGCTGCCGCTGCCGCCACTGGTGGTGCTGCTGCTGCTGCTGCTGCTGCGACTGCTGCTGCTGCTAAATCGGAGGGGTTTCGGAGGGAGGCTGGATGTGACGTCAGGGATGACGTGGCTGGAAAGCAGGTTGTAGCACGAGGGAAGGTTCTTGTAGGATGCCAGGATGTGGAACGAGGGCAGTTTGTAGCAGGACGGCAGGTTGTAGCAGGAAGGCAGGTTGTAGCAGCAGGATGAGAGGTGGTAGGAGGGAAAGCAGTAGCAAGAGTAAAGGTGTTCATAGGACGGTGGATTGTAGCAGGAGGGGAGCTTGTGGTAAGAGGGAAAGTTGGAGCAGCAGAAGACAAGGCTTTAGTGGGAGGGAAGGTTGTAGCACGAAAGAAGCTCATAGGAGGAGGAAAACTTGTAGCACAAGGGAAGGTTGTCATAGGAGAAAAATCTGCAGCAGGAGGGACGGCTGTAGCAGAAAATAAGGAATTGGTGGGAGGAAAGGGTATAGCATGGGGGGAGGTTGTAGCAGGAGGGGAGGTTATTGCAGGGGCAAAATTAGCATCTGGAGGGACGGTTGTAGCAGGAAAATAGCTTGAAGCAGGATGGGAGGTTGGGCAAGGGGAGACATTTGTAGTAGCAGGGGAGCTATCTGTAGCATGTGGGATGGTTGTAGCAGGAGGCAAGGTTGTACCAGGAGGGGAGAGTGTAGCAGGAGTACAGGTTGAGGCAGGCGGGGAGACTGCAGCAGGAGGTGAGACTGTAGCAGGAGGTGAGACTGTAGCAGGAGGGCAGGTTGTAGCAACCGTAAGAATAAGATGAGGGTGAGGCAGGCATTGGCACGTTGGGGCGTGGTTATGTGAGCCGGAATATGCCGTCCGCACCACCACTCGCATCTCCGTTCTGCCACGACCTGTATTGTCACTCCCTGGGACCGAGTGGTTTGCAGAAGAAGAAGTTTGTATTGCCGCGCCCTCTGTAGAAGTCGAGTTTTTGGCCTTTGCGGCGGCGGCGCTGTGAGGCTTGTGGCGGCGAGGCCGAGCCTCCCCAGCCACCCGGTCCTCCGTTTTTTTCGCCGGGCAGCCCGTGAGTTGCTTGAACGCGCAGACGAAGTAGATCCTGCGGCAGAGAGGGACGGAAATCGGCGCGCATATGATACATTCCTTTTTTGAGGCGCCTCAAATCGGCACGCGTTAGATGAAAAGCCCTGGGAGAACAGAATATGAATGTCTGACTGACAAGCTGAGCAAAAGGCCAAAGCGTGTGTGAAAAAAGCCAAAGCTCAGTGGTGTGTAATGGTACGTACGTTCTCTGCCGGTGTCAGGCAGGCTGACACGAAATCCAGTCAAGGAATTTGTAAA